GTTATGTTGTATTGCTAAACTGGAATTTCATTCCTTAGTATTGCACATTTAAATGCACAGGTGATATCCTTTTTTAATAAATCCATCATTTCCTATGCCACACTATTTTTCATACTTCCTAATAACTTCTCTACCCCCAATTTTTTTATATGGTTTTGCAGGAGTGAAGTTAGCTGGAATCTTTCTTTGAACAATCGAGCTAGTGATTTCTTCCATAACCGTGCACAGCTCTTACATGTTCCCAAAGATCTTAGTGTAACAAGTTTCATAATACCCTTGGAGGTGTGAAGGAAGACAAGGATTTGACTCATGGACTAAACTTGAAAAAATATTGTAATTGGGCAGTGGTTGCAAAAGGCCTTTCAGCAGTCACGGTTTAAAGGCTTTTCCAAGAACTGTGTTTCCAAAGAATGTTAATAATAACCTTGGAACATCCTACAAGTGAGGCACAGTGCGTAGTCACCGCCTTTGGTTTGGGCAGTCCAGGGATCTCGTTCTGCTTTTGGCACTGCTTCTGTCGATCGCACTGGACGAGTTACTTCAGTTTCCTTTATCCCAAGTTGAAAACTCTTTTGAGGTTATAGTAATTAATACTCTGTAAGTATGAGAGCATTTATCATTGTGATCACAAATCCTGATTATTATGTTTAAAGAATGTTTAGCTATTAATAAACTATAGTGGAGAATTTAAATCAAATTGGAAAGAGACAAAAGATCTCCTCAATCGAGTGGCTGCCATATACACTCTGTACATAGAGTATACTGTCAGCGGTAAGTGGTCCACTTTTTTGGGACAAAATTCTTGGTATCTGTGGAACTAGACTAAATTGAATACGGTATGGAATGGCAAGTAAGCAATTTATATTGCTTCTTCTTGAAAAGAAGAAGGCTTTTCCTTACTTTTCCTGAAAAGAGTGAAAATACTTTTCTTACTATGAAAGGCTTATTACAAAATAAAATTTAGTAGTGAATTATGCACATAGAACCTTGGTGTTTAATGTGATCCTTACATTAGTTTCCTTGTTTTTGTAAAACAGCAGTCCAACATCTGCCTCAGGATTGACTGAGGGATAAAAATGTGATCATGCATTGTGAGATGCTTGAGACGGAGGAAATGCTTCGTAGGTGTTAGCAATGATTATAAATCAAATCTTGTTCTAGGAAGTGGGCTGAGCTAAGGATTATTCCCCATTGTACAATGCTAGAAATCTCTTTGAAAGTAAGCAAGAGTCAAAGACGATGGCGGACAGGAGTGCGTTTGGGGACTGACACAGAGCCAGACACCTCAGCAGCCGCCGAAAGAAGCTGCTGCTTTTATGTCCCTTGAGGTTCCCAAGCTGCCAGTGTGGTTATGATGTTTGAGAGAGGCCTGGAAGAGACTGGTCAAGGTTGGGGTTTTTGTTGGGCCTAATCTTTTAGTTGTGGCACGTGGGATCTTTTTTGTAACTTGGCAGCATGTGCACCCTTTGGCTGCAGCATTGGAACTCTTAGTGGCAGTATGCAGGATCTAGTTCCTGAGCAGGGGTCAAACCCAGCGTCCCCCTCCCCAGCACCCCCACCCCCACTCCCCAGCCCAGGCCTTGGGAGCAGAGTCTTAGCCACTGGACCACCAGGGGAGTCTGCAAAGTTGAATTCAGTATATTCAATTTATCAGTGTTAAAATCTAGACTTACCTAAGACTTTAAGTTCAACTTAAATATTTTGTCCTTCTGTTTATAAATCTAATATTTTTATATAAAGTTAAGATCCATTTTTATTTTGTGATGTTTATATATCTCAAGGAACAGATTAAACTTTCCTTGAGAGTTATTTCTATATCAGAACTCTGTTAATTAAATCTCTTAACACTTTGGCCTCTAATGTATAAACTTTATGTATTTGATTTTCTCTCAAGCACTTTATAGAGCTGAAAGGGCAGCCTGCAATCCTAACAAGCATTTTCTTCTTAAGTATTTAAGCAGCTTTTATAAAGTTAATAAACCAAACTTAAAATGCAACAAATTGAATTCCCTAATGAATTTAGATAGTATTTACTGACCTAATAGAGTTCTGTTAATTCTCATGCAACATAAAAATCCTACATATTTCAAATTGAGGCCACAAGGCCTGTCAGATTATCCAGTATATGGTTTTCTTAAACAGTCTAGACATATTAAATGGCAACAGCAACAACAAAAAACCCTTACCCTCAAACCTTAATGGCAAAGTATTAATATTCTAAACTTAATATATGTCATTATCTTCGTAGCAGCATTACCATCGTAGGCCAACTCAGGATACTGGGAAGGAAAATTCACGACAGTGATTATCAGTTATTAGAGAATTAAGATCAGGACATGAGACATGTGTACTCACAGTTTGAGTCTAAATAGCCTTGTATGTGATATGCAAGGCACGTTCTGTGTTTCCATGTTAACAGGGGATCCCGAGTATTCCTAATGTGCATTGTTTTTATAAGCAATATCTTCCATTGCAGTGACTTTCAAGGGAATAATAGAGAAGATGGCATTAATAAAAACTTTTCTATACCTACATGTGAAAGTGAAAGTTGCTCAGTCGTGTCCGACTATTTGTGACCCTATGGACTGTAGTATATTGGAATTCTCCAGGCCAGAATACTGGAATGAGTAGCCTTTCCCTTCTCCAGGGGATCTTCCCAACCCAGGGATCATAACTCCTGTCAAGAATCAGGTACCTTCTGCTGAAGGTATGTGCTCACCTTATTGAGATTGCCTACCACAACGATGACTAACTTCCCCTGTCCCAGTAAGGACAGCGTGGGGTAGTAGTCCGGGTTCTCTAGAAAAACAGAACCAATAGGAGAGATTGAGATTGACTGACTGCTTAATTCATTCATTTTAAGGAACTGGCTCACATGATTATCAGTCAGTTCAGTCACTCAGGCGTGTCTGACTCTTTGCGACCCCATGAACTGCAGCACACCAGGCTTCCATCACCANTCACTCTCTGCCATAAGGGTGGTGTCATCTGCATATCTGAGGTTATTGATCTTTCTCCTGGCAATCTTCATTTCTGCTTGTGCTTCATCCAGCCCAGCATTTTGCATGATATACTCTGTATATAAGTTAAATAAGCAGAGTGACAATATGTATCCTTGATGTACTCCTTTCCCAATTTGGAACCAGTCCATTGTTCTATGTATGGTTCCAACTGTTGCTTCTTGACCTGCATACAGATTTCTCAGGAGGCAGGTCAGGTGGTCTGGCATTCCCATCTCTTGAAGAATTTCCCACATTTTGTTGTGATCCACACAGTCAAAGACTTCAGCACAGTCAATGAAGCAGATGTTTTTCTGGAATTCTCTTGCTTTTTCTATGATCCAGCAGATGTTGGCAATTTGATCTCTGGTTCCTCTACCTTTTCTAAATCCAGCTTCAACATCTGGAAGTTCATGGTTCATGTACTGCTGAAGCCTAGCTTCAAGAATTTTGAGCATTACTTTGCTAGCATGTGAGATGAGTGCAACTGTGCGGTAGTTTGAACATCTTTTGGCGTGATTATAGAAGCTGGTAAATCCAAAATCTGTCAGGTGGCCTGATGCTGTGGAGGCCCGAGGAGAGCTGAGGTTCCAGGTCAGAAGCCATCAGGAAGAGCTGGTTTTGTAGAAGGAGCCCGAAGTGCAGAGGTGGTTGGGCAGTGGAATTCCCCTTCTCAGAGGAGGACCAGTCTTTCTGTTGTAATTAAGCCATCACACCCATTGAAAGAGGCCTACCCACTTTATGGAGGGTAATTTGCTTTACTCAAACCCACCAATCTCAGTGTTAATCCCATTCCAGAAACACCTATAATCATGATTTTTAAAAAATATCTATTTATTTTTATCTTACTGCTGCATGGCCTTCTCTCTGGTTGTGGCAAGCAGGGGTTACTCTCTAGTGGGCTGTGCGGGCTTCTCATGGTGGTGGCTAGGGCACTCAGGCTTCAGTAGCTGCAGTTCCCCCCTCTGGAGCACAGGCTCAGCTGTTGTGCATGGGCTTAGCTGCCCCACAGCATGTGGGATCTTCCCCGACCGGGGATCGAACCTGCATCCTCCTGCACTGGCAGTTGGGTTCTTTACGACTGAGCCACCAGGGACACCTCAAAATAATGTTTGACCAGTGACCCCTGGGCACTCCATGGCCTGGCTGATTTAGCACGTAATTTTAGCCTCAGATGGTAAAAGCATCTACCTACAATGTGGGAGACCCGGGTTTGATCCCTGGGTTGGGAAGGTCCCCTGGAGAAGACAATGGCACCCCACTCCGGTACTCTTGCCTGGAAAATCCCATGGATGGAGGAGCCTGGTAGGCTATAGTCCATGGGGTTGAAAAGAATTGGACACAACTGAGTGACTTCACTTTCTTTCTGTCATTAGCCATCACAACTGGGATTGAAAAAAAGATTGAGAACCAGCTAAAGAAAATATTTGCCTTTTGTAGACCTTCTGCAGTTCCCATTACCATCCTGTACAAATACATACTTAAGCAAGGGCCTTTATTTTCAGTTTGGAGCTAAGCATAGCTCCTTCTCCTTCCCCAGATGTATGCTGGAGAAGCGCAGGGAGGAGCTGGGACACGAAACACTCCACCAGGAAAGAGACATTGGACTTGTGAAAGGGAGTGAATAAACAGGATGAATGACCCAGAGGCCGGGCAGAAAAATAGGGACTGTGCAGAGAAGAACGCTAGACATGAAGCCAAAATATGGGTTTTTTTAAACAACACTGTCGTAGGCAGGTGCATTAGATGAGCAAGTAAGTCATGTTCAGGTTATGATGGCATGGTAGTCGTTGATTAGAAACACACTAGCAAAGGAAGCATGGTTTGTCTCCGAGCAAGGAAAGTTAAAAAGCGGAGGTGGGGTGGACCTCTTATAAAGGGGGAAAAATGACTCCATTTCCTGCTAAACTGTTGGCGAATGAACTTGGGAGGAGTGTCCTGGAAGTGGACTGCAAACCCAGTTCCCTGGAGTGGGAGTGAGTCAGCAAGGGTTCGGGACGCCAGCTGAGGAAGACCAACAGGCTGAAGCTGTTGTCTCAGTGGCCTCAACAATACAGGACACTTAAATGCAGGGGGAATGTGATCGACAGATGGAAAGTTGGTAATAAGAACGCTTCTGAAATTTTAGTATGTGTATGATTTGAACTTTGAAGTATGCATTTTATTCAGAGCTTATTTTCTTAAGAGCTATATACTACATTGTAGTGCTAAGAAGGTATTTGGCCATGTTTTGTTACTGAAAATATTCTGACTGGAGGATAACTTGCATTAAGAATATAATTGCACTGGTCTATTAGNAACAAAAAGTAACACTTTTATTTTTCATTAATAAGCAATCTAAATGATCTCAAATTAAATTTTTAGCCATTTAAAAATGAAATCAGAGATTATGAATAGGCATTCAATTTTCTAGAAACGCCTTTTTGGTGTTACCCTGAATGAGTTGATTTGCTCTTTAGTGAAAGCTTTACTTTCATGTATTTTAATAAACTCTGCAGATGGCATTTCTCTCTCTTCACTAATAGTTGAAAGGTATGGTAAGAAAATGAACTGTGCTGAGTGGGACTATGAGAACAATCACTGTATGTAATTGCTTAAAGCCCTATTCTTTGAGGTTTTGAAGTCAAATAATGGTGTGTTTACTTTGACCCTTTCCTAATTGACCTTGTAAGACAACTATGGCTGGAATAAAGCCACTGGCCACCCATGCCTTTTATGTGCTCACCTCATGACCAGTGCAGGCATGCCTGGCAAAGGAAGGATGAGGGAAAGTTTATCTCCTCTCCCTTCATGCAGATAGACTGTACCTCTTACTGACTGGGAGGAAAGCATCTAGGAAGTGCTTAGGAAGTGAATTGGCGTAAATCTGCAAGGAGCAGAAACTAGGATGATACTTGTTTTGCTCAGCACCAGTAACCCAATGTCTTAAGAAAGAAATGACAAAAGATGAGCTCATGGGGAGGCCTGGGGGCACAAGAAGGCTTTCCTTTATGCTTCTGTTGGAGCTTCGGGTCTCAGTGGCTGTTGTGGACAGTTACGCTGGGTGTACACTGTTCAACCCTAGAAGTTACCATTCACAACATGATTACAGTGCCTACCATAGTAGCCAAATAAGTCACTGACAGAAGGAGGAGCTACTATGACTGTACCTGATGCTGAATCAGAGGGGCAGGTAAGAAGAGTCACTTCAGATGAAGATAAATGCAATATAGGAACAAGTTATACACCAAGAGTTACAGAGCTTAAAATAGTTCAGTTTTGACTTGCAGGTTTATTGCGTTTCCTGTAAATAAGTGAAATACATTATGTTTGTGTGTGTGCTCACTGTCCGATTCTTCTCAACCCAGTGGAGTGTAACCTGCCGGGTTCCTCTAGTGGTACTTTCACATTACATTAATTACCTAGACGGTGCTCTTCAAATGATGATTCAGCAGTGTGTATATATATTTCATAACCTTGAGATCTATACTTCTGGATATTAATCAAGAGAGTTTTGAACAGTTCTAAAACATTAAAGCACAATTATTTTTACCCTTAGAATTTAATAATTTAGTTTTACTTAAAAAAAAAAAAAGCTTAATATTTTGAAATTTTATCCTGACTTGACTTTTGGAATATCATTACATTTCTCTGGACCTCAGTTTCCTCAGCAGGAAAATGAATGAGGTTAGACGGTCCATGTTTACCTACAGTGCAATCAATTTCAGAATTGTCAGTCGTCATCTGAAAACACCCGTGTGAGCACCACGTGCAGGCAATAGTGCCCTCTGGTGGTGACTACCTCATATTACAGCCACAAGTTTCAGTGACAGATTTCAGTTCGGTTCAGTTGCTCGTGTCTGACTCTGCGACCCCATGGACTGAAGCATGTCAGGCTTCGCTGTCCATAACCAGCTGCCAGAGCTTGCTCAAACTCATGTCCATCGAGTCAGTGATGCCATCCAACCATCTCATCCCCTGTCTTCCCCTTCTCTTCCTGTCTTCAGTCTTGCCCATTCCAGTGAGTCAGTTCTTCCCATCAGGTGGCCAAACTATTGGAATTTCAGCTTCCACATCAGTCCTTCCAATGAATATTCAGGACTGATTTCCTTTAGGATGGACTGGTTTGACTCCTTGCAGTCCAAGGGACTCTCAAGAGTCTTCTCCAATATTCCCATCTCTTGAAGAATTTCCCACAGTTTGTTGTGATCCACACAAAGGCTTTAGCATAGTCAATAAAGCAGAAATGGATGTTTTTTCTGAAATTCTCTTGCTTTTTCTATGATCCAACGGCTGTTGGTAATTTGATCTCTGGTTCCTCTGCCTTTTCTAAATCTAGCTTGAGCATCTGGAAGTTCATGGTTCACATATTACTGAAGCCTGGCTTGGAGAATTTGGGGCATTACTTTGCTAGTGTGTGAGATGAGTGCATTGTGCGGTAGTTTAAACATTCTTTGCAATTGCCTTTCTTTGGGATTGGAATGAAAACACCTTTTCCAGTCCTGTGGCCACTGATGAGTTTTCCAAATTTGCTGGCATATTGAGTGCAGCACTTTCACAGCATCTTCTTTTAGGATCTGAAATAGCTCAACTGGAATTCCATCATCTCCACTAGCTTTGCTCGTAGTGATGCTTCCTAAGGTCCACTTGATTTCACATTCCAGGATGTCTGGCTCTAGGTGAGTGATCACACCATCATGATTATCTTGGTCATGAAGATCTTTTTTGTATAGTTCTTTTGTGTATTCTTGCCACCTCTTCTTAATGTCTTCTGCTTCTGTTAGGTCCATACTATTTCTGTCCTTTATTGAGCCCATCTTTGCATGAAATGTTCCCTTGGTATCTCTCATTTTCTTGAAGAGATCTCTAGTCTTTCCCATTCTGTTGTTTTCCTCTCTTTCTTCGCATTGATCACTGAGGAAGGCTTTCTTATCTCTCCTTGCTATTCTTTGGAACTCTGCATTCAGATGGGTATATCTTTCCTTTTCTTCTTTACCTTTAGCTTCTCTTCTTTTCTTACTTATTTGTAAGGTCTCCTCAGACAACCGTTTTGCCTTTTTGCATTTTTTTTTCCCTTAGGGATGGTCTTGATTGCTGCCTCCTGTATAATTGGCTTCCCAATATTTTGCAGTCTAATAGAAAAAACTTTCTGCTTAGAATTGTAGAATATGTAAGCTGAAAAGGACCTTAGAGATTAACTAATCTTGTTTTCTCATTTTACCAATTAAAAGTAGAAAGGTTAGATGAATACTGGACTTTAAAGAATAAATTTTTTGTTTCTCTTATTTTTTAATTGGGGTTAAATGCACATGATGTATGTGTTTTATAGTTAATAATTCAGTGGCATTTAGTATATTCCCTATGTGTGTAACCTCCCCTTTATTGTTTTTTTTTAAAATATGTATTTATTTTGGCTGCACTGGGTCTTAGTTGGGACACACGGAATCTGCAGTCTTTGTGGCATTCTAAGTCCTAGAGCAGCACCTGTGATGCAATTCCCTGACCGGGGATTGAACCTAGGCCCCCCTGCATTAGGAGTGCGGAGACTTAGCTACTAGATCACCAGGGACGTTTCTCCCCTTTATTCTTAAGCACACACATAGTTCAGACTTTAAAAATAAGTCTTACTTGGTTAATGCAAAAAAAAAAAAACCCAGAAAAAATGTATTCCTTCCATATAATGTTTGTTTTCCCTAATTGTTGACTTCTCAGATTGTCACTTCAGAGTGATACTTAACGAGTAAGAAAGGAGGAAATGAAATGGCTCATATGTCCTTCCAGTTGGAAAAATATGAAATAGATCAGCTTAGAAAATTAACATGTTGAACTTTTCTCCCACTTGCCTGTTCATTGTATTGTCCAGGCTTGTGTCTTATCAAATTTTAGAAGTTATGTCATTGCTAATTTCTCTTGAGATTGTCTCAATGCAAGATTTAATGTTTTATTTCCAAAGTCCTATTTACTTAGAAATGGGGGAAACCTTTCATGCAGGCCTTCATAAGAAATTCATAGGTTATCAATCATTATTTTAAGGTCTTTATGTGTGATATAATTTAATGCTATTACAAGTCTGTAAATGTTGAATCCAGGTTTTAGAAATTATTTCTAAATGGAGCCTCCATTATTTTGGCGTTCATACCCAACAAATCTCTGTCTCCAGTTAGAGTCTGGCTACATAAACAGCAATATGATGGAAAACGCTGAGAGTGACTGAACTCGGAAGGGGCAGAGCTAGGTAAAGGTTGGTGGTGGAGGAACTTGATTGGTCTAAGGCCTATGAGTTTCCTTAGAGCCTTAACATTCACAGGAGTCCCGCAGAATATAAACCCTGCCAAGACTTTAGACTTCATTACTTCCCTGTCCTCGACAAGTACAGTTTAATTGAACATTAAGCAATTTGATCTCTTTCACCTAATAAATCGAGCAAATTCAATAAACATAAATCCTGCTAATGATAAAGCTGACCCTGCTGGGGCTGAGCTCATCAGCATTCATGGTTATTACTCTCCCTGGAATTACAGTCTCAGATGCTTATTACCAAACTGAGTACTCACCTGATGCTTATAGTCTTAGGAATGCATTTAATAATTTTCTTCTCAGGGTTTCAGAAGGGCAGCTGTGGAACAGAAAGATCATGGTTTTGCAGACCAAGAGTCAACTCGTTCAACTAAGCTAGGACAGTTTTGCTCTAAACCTTAGCTTTCTTATTGGAAACAAAAGGAGCTAATTACAGTTATTGCATCAGATTCTGAGATTTAAAGGGAAAAGTGTGCGATTCTGCTTCTCTGGCAGTCCAGTGGTTAGGATTCCACGCTTCCATTGCAAGAGGTATGGGTTCAATCTCTGGTCGTGGAACTGAGGTCCTGTATGCTATGCAGTGTGACCAAAAAAAATAAATAAAGGTGAAAGTGTGTGCAAAAGTATATAGCACTTGACACACAGGTGCTATAATAATCGTGCANTGCAAAAGTATATAGCACTTGACACACAGGTGCTATAATAATCGTGCAGGTTAACTTTCTTTTTTTTTCCCGACTGTCCTTTAGCAGGGGTCTGTAGTAGGCAGTGTTTACACAGTGCTTTCATTTTCCCGAGGCTTTCTTACCCATTTTATATGC